GGATGCCATAACACCGATGTATCAGGACCTAACGGCGAAATTAATTATCTCAATGTTCTCATCCAACACTGCACTTCTGCGACTACAAACGGTACATTCAGTAGAGAACTTCTGTCGATGTACTCCTTAATTCAGTGAAAGGTTTTGAATTCATCAATTTCATCGTCCGAAATCTACTATGAACTCGAATTCATATTGGTAATCAACAAGGTTATCATGCCAGCTAGATTATGCCTGACAGTTTATCCTGGATGTTCGCCACATGACTGGGACCAACGACATTTTCTCAGATGCTTTGTCACACACCTAGTCCTTTCAAAAAGAGGATACCGAGCTTCAAATTTAGTTGGCAGCAATGACTTTGGAATGAAGTGAGAGACAATTAGGCATAGGTTTGGACACTATCCTTTGTGATATTTCTAACAATGCTCACCGTCCTGTGGTGCCCAGGGGTAATCGCTGTAACATCTTCATGACATTGCACGGCTTTTCTTGTAGGGGATCAAAGAAGTTCGTCAAATAAGTGTAAGCCTCAGTGATTAATTTTTTTACCTATGGGGATTGAAGCATAGGAAGGATCATTGGATTTTCAAGGGATTCCGTATCTTTCTACTGTCTTCAAGCCATCGCCAATAAATAAACCTTCTTTCAGCTGTAAATGTTGTATTCTGCCTACGTGGTGTTAAGAACAGCTTATGTGGGCCAGGTTAGAGAGAGGAAGTTTAGCCAGAGCTGAGACCAAACATGGCAGACGGACACAATCAGTCGTGGGCGTTATTTATGGTTGAAACGTACTGGAAGCGAGCTCGAAGTCATTCAAGTAACCTAACTAACTGGTTTATTGGAATCTACCTCGGGAATCCAAACTAAAGTTAGGCTGCCTACTATTCGGCTTTCTAGATTGTTATAAATAAGGAAGCAGGGCTCTGGACTCTAACGTGTCTAGCTTGACAAACTGTGAAGTAACAAGACACAAAAAGGCTTTTTTGTCAATTTTATTACCCCTGGTGCCTTCATCAAACGCGTGCATATGGATCTGCTTGGACCTCTCCCAGAATCTCATGGATATGCTCAGTTACTGACTTGCACTGACCGTTATATTTGATGGCCCAAAGCAGAACCCATCAAATACGAATCTGCTGAAACAGTTGCAGGTTTGTGGAAAGACAGGTGGAAAATTTCGGACGCATGAAATGTGAATGTGGTGACAACATAACACACATGGAGATTGAATTGTCAGCCACAAACACTATACATTGATCTGAATCTCTGCCCTTAATCTCTCCTTCGCTAACAGAACGCATTGAAAACTGACGATGTCCACACCACTGCAAAGCTAGTATGTGGAATAACCTTGTGACCTTCACACGACTTCATTTCTCCCTTCAGCTTTCCACCAGCTGTAGATCATTCCTCGTGTGCCAGCAGCCTTACAAATGAGGTGCATTTAATTAAGCCTGCTCTTCTCCGACCGCAGTTCTGAGAGGTTTTGGTTCAACCAAGCCTCTATACATCCCACAACAGACGATATGAGTTCATCAGAAGAATGGCAAAGCTCATTAGAGGCTAAATAAGGCCTCGAAAACTGTCTTAATCTGGCCATGCCAATTATACACAGCCAGTTGAATACCTGGTGTATTCGAAGGAGTATCCGGCAACAGGAAAGTAATCAGAGCCCCTACTGGGGCGATGACAGAAATTCTGAAAGAACCATGAGGTTTCTATAGAATCTCCATACTTATCTTCCGGACAAGATGAACACGTATTAATCTCCAAAAGCAATCTATTTTGCTCATGGCACATTCTTTCATATATGTGCATTAATTTTACCTATATTCTGCGTCGTAAATTCGATATATTTTTGACGATTTCACACGTACCTTGTGGACTACTTTAAAATAATGAATTTATTCAGTGTTCCTCCACAAACCAGGCAGCCACGTCAACCGGCACGCCACTATGCCATGTCCTGTTGTTCGTGGACGTGGATGTTTTTCCCACTTGTACCTGCAGTTGGCTTCAGAAGCTCTTCTTCCTCTCGTCCGATTTATTTGTCGGTCCCTAGTTCAATCTTGATTCCATGGCTGTGGTTGAGATTTGTAAGAACTATATGATGGCATGTTTACGTCTGTCACCTCAGTCATACTCGAAATATAGCCAAAGTACCTTAACTTTCATAGCTGCAGCCACGGTGTTTTCAAGTTCCATCAACTCATGATTGATCATCTTATCCGCTCTTTCAGTATATGAAAGATGGGTCGACATTTAATAGAAGGAATTCAAAATTGATGTCCTGGATCGCTCTCTTTTCAGTCACTCTGGTCTTCTATACAAATCTCCTGCACTCAGTTTTCCTTTTTTGGTTTTTAGACCACAGAACCTCCTTGCAATTTCAAATTCGTGATTACATTAATTCAGGAAAAACACTGGCTTCGTAGCGGTAAATAATTCCTCAAAATTATTGACCACAGCAATCATCACTGAACATTGGAAGGTGACCCTCACTTTTTAAGTCGAATTGTTTAGCTGAAGGCTTCCGGTCAAGAATCCATGCTGTCTAGTACTCCATCGTGTCACGTTCCTGTAGGATCACTAGCCAGTTAAGCATTCATCTTGGTCTATGATTTAGTCCCGAAATATATCTCGTAGTTTAACTCTGGTCTTTTGTTTTGCCTTTGGTCCACGATGAGCGAATACTATAGAAGTTGTTGGTATTTGATCTTGCGTTAGTATACTCCGTACAATCCGCGAACGTCGATACCGTCAGCCTGCAAGGCTTGTTGTTATCATTTGTGTGTACGGGCAGTGAAGCGCTCTTCGACTAACGTCCTTATTCAAGTTTCTATATTGCAGGGGTCGTTAGAGGCAGGTGAGTAAACACCTTTCCATCGGTCAGAGTCACCTAAACCCTACGTCAGCAAAGCAATGTTAGGAAGTCTTCTCACGGTAGCTTCCCCCTCCAAAATGTTTCTTTTTCAACTTACACAGGTTTTCTTGAAGTCCCATTACTTGATTCTCATCTCCGTGTGGTAAGCTGAACTTCTAAGTACATCATGAGTCTACTAGTCACTATTTGAGGATGTAACTCAAGAGCTATCAAACGGATCATATCATGTAATCATTTTTTAGTGAGGAGCATTACCAGAGAACAAGAGAACTTTTATTTCCTAATATCAATAAATTTAAAGAATAAAGTTCCAACTACGATGTCTAGAATATTTTTAACATATTTATGCGTCGAAGTTTCTGTAGCATTTGGTATTGACGAATTCCTAACTCATTCTCTTGGTAATGGCGTAGGTATCAGCACTCTGTATCAATCGTTATCTGGATAAATAATCACGGAAAAGTCCTATAAGACAGTATCAGAATGTTGTTGGATTAGCGTCAGCTTAAGAGATGAAACTGATTAGAACTTGCTGACGGATTTTAGATGAACGTACGCTTGACAGAAAAAAATAGTTTGCAACGATTATTTATTGTGTAGAAGAGGACGTACAAGCTATGACAACTGTCTGGTGTAGGAACTTTAGTAGGAAATACGAGCAATAAAATAGGTCGATGGATGACAGTATTATCTTATTTCGCAACCTGAAATGTAAACGACCACCAGCAGTTCTGTCTAGATGTACTACACATACCTGACATGTTCATGATGTAGTTTCAAAGCAACTTTTTGTCGTCTAACTTCATAGTCCTGGCTGAGGTCAATTTTGAAGTCACAAATCCAAAACCCTAGTTACGGCTCCGGAAGAAAGCCTGAGCTAACTGGCTTTCCGGAGGAGGCTTGTATCTGGTCTTTGCAAACAAGGCGCTATGGTCGAGATAAGATGGTTAACGATTTTGGAATTCAGAAGGATGGGATCTGCACAGATCTCTTTGTCTACCGGATGATACTGAGTAATGAGTTGACTAGGTTGTTATTGATCACTCGCCCACCTGTATGCTTTCGAAAATAAACTTTTAAACACCGAAGTTGTCTTCTAAAGCAATGAAGGCTGTTGGTAGATAATTTGGGTAATTCTTAATTAGACAGAAGAGTTCACTTCTAAAAGTCTTCAACACTGTTGATGAAATCACGATAATAAACACACAGTGTGCTCGAAGTCTTCAGCTGGAAATCTGCGTAGATCATGGACTATCTACCTAGTGATTTGGAGAATCCACTTGCACTCCATATGCTGTTTCAGGAAAACGATATTGACACTTACTCAAGATACTCTATACAGTCGCAAGTTTCTATCTAGTCACTCCAATAGCACTTGTTATACCGAGATCAGAGTCGAATCAAAACTGTAAATTAAGCGTACAAAATGCGAGATTTACTTCAAGATCAGAAGAGTAGACCAACGATGTTTACTTAATTAGCCAGGGATTGTCCACGAACAACAGGACATGGCACAGTGCCTCGGTGGACTAGGTAACTTCGGCCTATCGAATCCCCTTAATTATCGGAGATCAGCATCAAGTGTTGAGTGGAGAATTCTGTAGACTAATATTTTTGCGAAATTATTTACCACCACATTGTTATGGTTGATATTTAGTAACGACATTAGTGTATTACACGTATACACCGACGAAGCTATGGGGAAAAATTCGAAAATTCTCATAACATCACGAGGATTAACGGATGATCTTAATTATTACGGATTTTCACAGTGTCAGTAAGACAATATACATGTAAAACATACCGCTTTCAAAGAGGCTGCTGGACTGTGTAATTACACATGACATTCATTTGGCGTCCACTTACACTGAATCATATGAGAAGAGCTTTTCGATAATTTGAGTACGACATCTTTATTTAACAACGGTTCACCTGGTACATATACCTAAAATAAATAACAGAACAGATGGTTTCTAGATGAAACATTATCTTACTAGTGGAAAATATGAAGTGCATGCATAAAAGATCTTAAAACAATGAAAGCTGTCACTAACTAGTTTGTTTACATCAATCGGAGTATTTTTCAAGGTTACTTGCAAATCAGTAAACAATTTGATAGTTTTATAGGTCGTCATGATATTTCGTTTCATTTTAGTGTTTTCCATCTTTAGCTGGAGTGTCGTTGGGTTTTCAATATGTGAGTTGAAAGTTTATTTAAGTTTCCACATTCTAACTTTTACACCTTCCGGTTTTACGCTGAATTTCCATATAATACAAATTAACTTCTTCCCGGAATTTCTATATTATAGGATTCAATTATTGGTTTGTAGGGATTTAGTTGATTGGTTACCGGATTTCATCATGAGCTGGCACTGGTCACAGATTCATTGGAAAACCTAGGAGTACTGGACAGCTGTTTCGTCCTGGTTCGGGGCTTTTCACAGTACGCTGAAGATTACCTACCCTTCCTAAGATGTACCCGTGGCCTTAGCAATATTGTGAAGCTTCTATAATTGTGTATTGTCGCCTGTGTATCAAATCTTAAGGCAATGTTTAGGTGCCTAGGGTATTTATAATTTCACCCAATGGTTCACCAAAAGTTTCACTTGTTACAAATATTTAATAAGAAAAATCTAATCAATCTTAACATACCAATGCCTCAGCAATTGAGTTTTCTTGTTTTCCTGCTTTTGTTGAAGGAGTTGGTCAAAAATGCATAATTTATAACAGCAAATAACTACAACAAATCTTAGTCTACCAAAGCCCCTGATAAACACCCTACAGGCATCCGATGTAGTCTTTGGGTAGATATAGCAGTATAACTGGCCAAAGAGTTTTTAAAAATAAAATAGACAACTAAAAAGTGGCATTAGCTTTTGCAAGAAACCTCTGAACAAGTCATTAGGCTATTGTATCATACACTCGCTTACATTCGCTGCTTCTCAAAACACGTAAAATGATCGGTTGAATTTACTAGGTATTGTTCGCATATGAATGTCTTTCGCTACCACTTTGATACTAAAATAGTTTTCAGGTGACATTAAAACTAAATAAGTGTTGTTATGGAAGCTTCATTTAGCTAAAGCACCACTAAATCACAATTGTTATAGAGGCCAAATATAAGCAAAAAGGCTGTTAGTGAATGACCTCCGACTATAATGCCAAAAAATGCCTCATTCTTAGACTCAATCACAACTCAACCAGGAAGAAAACACGCTGGACCTTCATATAAAACAATATTTCGAGAACTTCCCATATATTTCAATACATATTTAGTTCCGAAAGTATTTCTTCGTGTTAGTAAATTTGGTTAGTTTATTTCATTGCAATTTAATACGTCTTCTCTGTTTAAATACTCACTTCGTCCCTTTTACAATCCGGTGTACTGACCAATTATAAAACGGTTTTAGAAGGCATTCGGGCTTCTACCATGAAAAATAGTACAGTTTGTCTACAGTTTTAATCACATTCAATGTAAAGTCACGCCTTTCTCAGACAGAGAACATCTAAAAGGCTAAACTTAACCAATCTGAAAAACGCGACAGTAATACGACCCAGTTTGAAAGTTGTGAAATACCCTTATTCATAAGTAAACCATTGTTTGATCTTATTCATAATTGATTGCTGTCAGCTAGACACGATCTCCTGTTTTGAATAAAATTTTTTATTTTCTTCTGGAAATTTAGCTGCGAACTTAGAAATTACTGTAATTATGCGTTACTTTTTTGTTTGATACTATTCTAAAATCTACGAAAACATTCCTCTTGCCTGTTTTGCTGTCACCAGTGTTTTTATCGAATCTAGATATTCTAGTAAGCCATTCATTTAGACTTGCCAGTTTCCCTTATGAATGTGTTCAAAATTCACTCATAGAATATGGAATGAAATTTTAATCCTAACGTTTTCAACTACATTTTTGAACAAAAAAGTCACAGTTAGTGTACTTGAAATGGAAAATGAAAGACTGGGGGTGTTTTCGTTTTTATTTTCGTTTTCTTAAGTTCCCATTTACCTTGAAGATTAGCATCTGAGCAACTTTAGTTTGCAAAGTTTTGAATGCCGCTTGGAAATAAACGAATCTTTGTGTCTTGACTTCCTTCTTTTCCCGGCTTTTGCACATTGTCCAGCAACCCAAAAGCATTATTATTTATAAATCTTGTGGAGTTTGAACGAGAGATACTTTGTTTTCGTGTCACACTGTGAGCCATACTATATTAGGATGGAATGAAATTCTTGTTTCAGATTAAATGATGTTACGGTAGCGCTTTAATGAATTTATCCTGGCAGTTAATGTGGTTTATTTTAAGCAAAACACTTATGTAGCCCATACAAAAATCGTTATTTATATATATAGACATGGAAGAAATTCATTGGAAATATAAGGTGCATTTGCAAGGGAAGATGTTAGAAAGTGTACTGGTAATCGCAGTCTACATTTGCATAAAAATGACTATGTGACCTACTTTAGGGCTATATTTTTTACTTGGTTCAGGGGTTGAGAAATTTTCATTCCACTTGAAATTGTCATCGGTTATTAAACTCAGATGAAAAATTTATTTACACAGGGGATAAACTGAGATCCCATGCATACATTTGACTGAATATACTTTTAATATTCGGTCAGAATCTACACACACAATGGTTAGGACTCTGGCCTACCATGCACATGGTCCGGGGTTCGATCCCCTGCCGACGCACACCTGATATCTATGGTCGGCCTGTAAAGTTTGGACTACCGATATCCATGCTGAAAATTCCCTACTTGTACTGGAAATTCGGTGTGGCATCAAGCTGTAATCAAAAGTAAAAAAATATTAAAAAACACAGAATTCACTTTACTTTAGAACAGAACCTTCTGCGGCGTTGTACACTGTGGTTGGTTAGCAATTGTGAAGTGACGATTTTGCATAACTGTGCTAACTCTAGTTTCGTAGTCTGTTGCTGTGGCGATTTAGTGATGGGTTATGTTTTTAATGTGTTTTTTAAATGAAATTTTGCGTTAAAAACTTTTTCTGACATAAATATTATCGGTGATATTATATTTTTTAACTGTGTCACATTGACTGCGCTTCAGTCAGGACGTCTTGCTTGATACTTTTACCTACACAATGTAACGGATTAAAGAATACAGGGAATGCAAGAGTTAAACGTATATTTTTTGATTTTCGTGAATTCATGCTGGCGTGTTTTAGCTTATTTATTGAGGCGCACTAATACCTAGTGGATAAAGGTGGAGCCACCTCTAATAAAAGGGATATACCATATAATCACTCGCAGCTGTAGGGGTTTATTCGATGCTTTGGATTCAGTAAATGAAGGTGTAGGTGACTCTAGTTCAACTGACTGGAAAAATGAATCCATACTTGTAATTTTTCATTGATATTTGTAAACTGAATTGATCAACCTCATTCTGGCATATGGTCTTACTGAACGCACATCTTGATATTACCATGATTACTAACTTGAAAACATTTGTTTCATATTGGTTGCATAAAAGATGGCTTGTACGTCTCACTAGACCACTGAATGATGCTATAGCGCTAAAATTACTGGCTATCGGGACTGAGTCGCAGTGCCCATCCCATTACTCACGGTTCCCAAGTAGAAGAAACCAAGCATCTTGAATTCCCCTGTTAGCTACCACTAGAGAATCAACTTCGATTGAATAAACTGCAATAAATGCGTGTACAGACATTATTAGGCGGATAGGTGTGTCATAAAAAGGAATAGATGTTGTACTATTAGCTATTATCAACAACTTTTAAGTTCCCATGACGCCTTGATAAAAACTGCTTTTGAAATTACCTCGACTATTTGTACTGTAAAGAAAAATATAAATGATTATGAAAAAGTATCACCACAGCAAAATCAAAAATGTCTTTGAGATGATTAGAAGATAGTAAAATTTGAAATCGTAGACTATCTGGGAAGATATGTAATGAATAAGGAAGAGAAAGCTTTTCTTAACATCAGGCTTTAATCTCATCTGGGTAAGAATCTTCTGCTTATTCTTCAATGATACCCTTAAATTAGTATAAAAAACTTAAAGGTGGTCATACAGTCTTTTCACATAACGACTACTGTTTTCATTTATCAATGCTTTGGTGGGAAATACTGCATTTCTAAATTTCCCATTTTGCAAAGCTTTACGTAGTAAACCATTACCAGCATTTGATTAATGAGGTTACTGAGGGATGATAAAATTTCAAGTAAATTGAAATGAAGGATTTTTAAAGTGAAATACAGAGTGAGGCAAAAAGTTAGATTACTCTAAAACGACTGAACTAAAAGATATTATTTCTTCTAGTCACATTCTGAAACAGTGAAACAACATTAATTTTAATCTTCGATCAGTTTATTTGACTGTCATGTGATCCACAAGACTTTATATTTTCCTTATCAATTCAGACGAATTTGAGAAATTTATAACAGATGGAACGTAATGCGTTTGAAGTTTCAGTAGTTAAATTCTCAAAGTAAAGTCATAAAGCAGCTAAAAACTTTACGTCACGAGTCGCACCACTAAATGAATTAAGTTTCAATTGTTGGTTTTGTAGGGATTTTGTTTAATTGCATGGAGAATTTCATCATGAGCTGACATCAGTTAGAGAACCATTGGAAAACTTGGGAGTACTGGACAGCTGTTTCATCCTAGTTAGGGACTCTTCATCAATACGCACCCACCACCAGGGTTCGAAATCCTCCAACCAATCAAACAAAATCCCCACAAAACCAATACTTGAAAATTAATCTGATGCTCACTAGCGACTGGCTTTATTCAGGCACTTAACCTGGGGTTCTAGTGGGAAGCCGTGACCAGTAGGGTACAGCAGGTTGAAGGTGGGGCAGCAACTCATCGAAGAAAACATTGCGAAGTGGTCGCGCTATGTCATGAATTGGTAGAAATTATAATTTATAGTCCAATGGATCGACTCCCATTGGCTTAATGGTCTGCGAGCTCGCTTAGTAATCAAAAGGTCCTGGGTTTGAACCCAGGTGGAGAGTACTGCTGGAGAGTCCTGGACTAGAACGGAGGAAACAGCTGTCCAGTACTCCCACCTAGTTTTCCAATGGTTCTCTAACTGATGTCAACTCATGATGAAATCATCCAATAAATAAATTTATTTCATGGTAGAAATTCTCAATCAAGGATATCAATTTATAGTTGGCAAAATGCTGAATAAAAAGTTTTAAGCA